AAGGATAGAGACTCTATCAAGAGTACAGTGTACACTGTGCGTGTATGCGCCTCGCGCGAGTGCTTATTTTCCATGACCTTTATTCGGCGGTTCCAGCTGCTCCATGCAGAGGAAACACTTGTTACAGTCGCACGTTGACAACTTGACAGGATTTCAAATCTCTTGTGCTGTGGTTGCTCGCCGTCTACGGCGGACCTTCGCTCGTCTTGATTTGCTGGCTCGTGGTGTGTCAGTCATAACCCGGGCCATTGACGTTCGAGCGAGCCATTGTGCCCGGGTACGGAGCGATCCATCTGGCCTACGGGCACTGAAAGAGGGCGTGCCCGATGTTTGAGCCAGCCTTAGCGAACTAACGGTCCCCTGACTCATGCCTTCGTTTACTGTTGCGACTGAGGGGGCACAAGCTCCAACTGTTGCTGGTTGAAATCCTTAGATCCCCACTTCCCAATTTGCCACTTCGGTGCAACACCCCGCACAAGAGCTGCTCCCAAAGGAATAACTCAATCATGAAGCTCCTCTCTACCGCCTTTGCTGTGTTTGCACTCCTCGCTGCTACGACGGAGGCTTCCCCCATGCTCCGCCAAGCAGCGGAGGGAAAGAAGAGCAAGAAAACTCAGCAACCGACGGAAGCTCCGGTACAGCAAGACGACCCGACCCAGCAGCAAGACCCTACTCAGCAACAGGATCCGACGCAGCAGAACCCGACTCAGCAACAACAACAGTCGGCACCGTCGGGCAGTGGTTGCACCCTTTCCGGTACTTACAAGAAGGGCACGGATATCTCCAAGTGCAGCAGTATTACTGTGAACTCGCTCAGCGTGCCACCCGGTGTCACGCTGGACCTGAGTCTTGCCAAGACCGGTGCCACTATCGAGTTCGTCGGCACCACCACTTTCGGTACGCAGAAGTGGGAAGGTCCTCTGGTGCGTGTTAGTGGAACTGACCTTACCGTCAAGGGCTCCGGTATCCTCGACGGCCAGGGTGCTTGGTACTGGAAGCAGGGTCAGTCGATCACCCGTCCGGTCTTCTTCAAGCTGCAGAACGTCGTCAGCTCCACTGTGTCTGGCTTTACCATCAAGAACATGCCATTCCGAACCTTCAGTATCGTCACCAGTAAGGACACGACACTCTCGGGTCTCACCATTGACTCGAGAGATGGCAACGGCTTGGCCAAGAACACGGACGGCTTCGACCTGACCAAGAACGACCACATCACGATCACCCACAACAAGATTTACAACCAGGACGACTGTCTCGCCATGCAGTCCAGTACCAACACGGTCTTCAGCTACAACCTGTGCTGCGGTGGCCACGGTATTTCGATCGGTTCACTGGGCGGTAACAGTGTTGACCAGTCAACTACCGTCGATGGTCTCACAGTCGAAGGAAACACGATTCAGAACAGTGACAACGGCGTGCGTATCAAGACCATCATCGGACTGAAGGGTCTGGTTTCGAACGTTAAATACATCGACAACGAGCTCTCGAACGTCAAGAACGCCGTCGTCATGCACTCAGACTACAGCAAGGCCAAAGGCGGCTACACCGGCTCTCCTACCAGCCAGGTTACCATTTCAGGTGTCACCATTTCGGGTCTTACGGGCTCGGCGACGAACTTGTATGACATTGTCGCTAACCCAAAGGTGGTGTCTGGCTTGGACTTCTCGGGCGTGTCTGTGAGTGCATCGGTCAAGGGCAAGCTTGCTGGTCTGCCCAACAGCATCGATCTTTGAAGTTACAGTGCGCTTCTCGTCTAGTGTTAGTGAATCGGTGGTCGCTTGAAGTCCAACGCGCAAATAATGGAAGTATGTTTAGATTGTTTTTAGAACAAGCTTAAGTGTTTTACAAACCTACTCCAGATTAATTCGCGCTTGTGTGGACCACCCTACACGGAAATAGTCAAATTTAAAGTGCAAGTGCCTTTTAAACTGTAGCTTTTTCATCCGCTTTGACAAGCCACGTTTTAAAGGCGGAAATTAGGATTTAGAGCTAAACGGTACAGTCAGACGAATGTGGTACGCTCACTAAAATGATCGAGCAAAAATGGCCTTCAATAGTTAGTGTCCACGTCGTTAGCCGATTTGTTTGGCTCTAGTGGCGGAGAAGACGCCTCTTTTTATTGAACGCGTTTGGTTTATAACGCGTTTTAATAGCGGCTCACACCTAACTTCTGATGTTTAAAAATATGTACTACCGTCCACTGAATAACAACATCCGCCATTTTCGTATATCTATTCACTAATGAGAGGATAGAGGTCAGTTTATTTTAAGGTTAACCCTTTAACTACTCAGCTATTGCTACGGATTTCTAAGCAAGTGGTCATCGGGAGACCCTTGTAGCGGACAAAGACCAATTTTAACGATTCATGTGATCCATCAAGATAGATCTCTTTAGAGCCTGGTCCAACTACCGACACACGTTCCGAAAACATTAGGGCTAGGTGGGTTAACCTTGTCTTTCAGGGATATTTATCAGGATAATGATACAACGAGCGATCAATTTATCAGAAGAAGATACAATGAATCTGATTGGCCAGAATAAAATGGCGAGGTCTTTATATTTGCACTAGTTAAAATTAATCCTGTTTGGGTATTCTGAGGTATTCCCAGTATAAACCTTTTGTTAGTACGAAGGTTGGTAGAAAAACCAACAACTGCAGACATAAGCTTTCGCCGGTTAGGATGCGTTCCTCAGAGGGTAAGGCGCATAAGTTTGATCTGAAATCTCGCTTTGGATATGCAGAACCTGAGCAGCACATACACTTTGTGAGTTTGGAGACGGCAGGTTCTTTTATCAAACACTACGCCTTTAACATGAACAAAAATGCCGAGAGGAAGAAAGGAGGTGGCGGGACCCACGTAAAATGGCTGTGTTCTGAGCACAGAAACGGTTGTAGCTGGTTTATAGCTTCGTCACGCAAACGTCAATCGAAAATTAATGAAGAAGCGACCATGCAGCGGCGGAAAAAGCCTACAACTAAACTCTCACATATTCCAAGTGGATCATGGTATATCTCTAAAATGGAGCTAAACCACGCACAACTTTGCCCTGGGATTGCTGTAATGACTACTGAGTTTCTGTTGGAGCATCCTGGTTTTCGTGGAGCTATTCTTCCTGGTCATAGCACTTCACTAGCGCGGGTAGTAAAGACAATGAGTGAAATTCACGGTGTCGACATTTCCAAGCAACCAGCAATGGCCTACCGTACCATTACACAAGCAAAAAAACAGAACCCATTTGACCCGGTAGCTGAGTACGGACGCCTTCCTAGTTATCTACGCGAGTTTGCACTGAAAAACCCTGGTTCACGGGTTTGTTGTCAGTTGGACTCAGAGGGGAGGTATTATAGAGCCTTTTTAGCTATTGGTAGTGCTGTGAATGTGCAAGACGCATTTTTACCTGTTTGGGAGTGCGATGGCACGCACATGAAGGATCCGTCGTACAATGGCATTTGTTTGACAATTATTGGTATAGACGGGAACAAGCAAAATGTGCCTATTGCAGTGGCCTACGTTCACAAAGAGACCGTCGACAACTTTGCCTGGTTTTTCGGGAACTGTATTGTCGCTGGTATAAAGATGAACATTCGGCCTGCGTTTTGCGACAGAGGAAAACAGCTAGCAGCTCAAGCCTTGTTGCTTCGCATCAACATGAAAATACACTTGAAGTTCTGCACACTGCATATCAGGTTTAACACCATGGACAAATTCAAATCTCTGAGGTTACACTTGAAGTCCATAAACGACGATGTTTTCTCGCTTCAAGGCGCTTCAACAATCGAAGGGTATGAGCTCATCAAAAATAAAATAGCATCCAAGCCTCCTGCCGGAATTTCAAAGGTTTTCGCGGGGAAGATCGTAGAGGAGCACGTTTGGAGCTACCTTAGCAGTATTCATCCCACAGATTGGTGTGTTGTCGGTAATATGAAGGCAACAACAAAGGAATTAAAGTGGATAGACGATAACTGGTCTTCTGTCCCAAAGCACGGCGACGCTTTGCCTCTGTTTGGTATCCGCACTACGAGTGCTGTCGAAGGAGAGAACAACGGGCTACTATGGGGACGTGTGCGGACCCAACTTGTGCTAGGTTCAGTCATGACGTACTGTACAAGAGCACTCAAAGTTTTGCAGAAGCGTAAGAAGCTCGTCCAGGAGTGGAATAGTGCAAGTTGTGATATCACTCCTCACGCTCTGAAGGAGTTCGAAAAGGAGAAAGAACTGGTAGCTCATCAGACAGTCATGCAGAGAGACGAGTCTCTCTTCTACGTCTTTGACGCCTTCGATAGCCGCGGTTTAGGTGGGGACGCACATCTCTACGAAGTAAACATGGATTGTGGAACTTGCACTCGATGCACTGTTGCTGAACAAATGCAAGTCCCTTGCCGTCACATGCAGGCAGTCGCTTTCTGGAGATCTAGGCAGACAAATAGTGGACTTCCGGACTATGATATCAAGCACTACTTCCATGCAGCTTACACCGTGTCGAAAATGGTAGAGGCCTTTGACTCCACTGTTATCAGTCTTCCTCTGTTTGACGAACTTGAGCAGACAAACGAAGTCAAGCCCCCACCGTTATATCGTCAAGCTGGTCAATCACGCAAGCGCTCGAAAGAAGCCAGAGACTTTGCAACTGGTAAAAGAAGAACGCCAAACCGAGGTGAATGTGCTGGGTCAACGGCTCCAATAGTTAGTCAGTGTGTGCCTAGTGATGTACACAGCGATGATGATAGCAAGGCAATTGCAGAGTTTTTCAACTCGCAAGTGAAGGGCGTGCGGAGAAGCAAACGAGAAACGTACACATGCAGCCGCTGTAAAGAAGCCGGTCATAACGTGAGGAGCTGCACGACACCACTGATGGAGATAGAGGAAGCTGGAGTAAGTATCGTGCCAGGTATTTACGTTGTTGCAGAATGTCCATTCGTTGCCTGTGGAAAAAGCGAAGAATATGAAAGGGAGATCAAAACCTACAAGTAAACAACGGAATATACACATAACATTGAAAATAATTAACGCTACGGTAATGAATGCCATGCCTGAGGGTGCAATAAAGTTCTTTAATCCAAGGCTGTCAGTGTCAACTAGTAGACATTTAATGCAGTATCGTGTGCGAGAGACTAGAGTTGACAACAAGGTGATGCAGATTTGACGCGTATCTCTGTATGTGAGCGGGGTTAGAGCACTATCAGCCAAGCTTGAGCGTCAATATGCTCGCTTCGGCACCAATTATCAACACTTCAGAAACCAACAGGTGCATAACCAATGTCAGCAACAACGAAACGCTCAACACAACGAGTTGTTCGACCCACACATCTGCGTTTTTGTTCCAGCTGAGTAGAATGCTGCTCTGGACGATATTCACCCTGCTTAATGCCTGTTAAACAACGTCATTAGTTTAGTCACATTACACCCACTCGAGAAGTCAATCTACACCTTGAACCGCCCACGGAAATTTCTTCGTCCATAACTGGTGCAGTGTACAAACTACCACGATGCACATTTTGTGTGCGTGGTAGTGAACTGCGCGCGTGACGTCGAGGGACCCACGCGTCGACAATAGTCCTCTGCTGACGGTGGCTTCCTGTTCCACAAATATTTATGATATTCCCCAAGGTTTTTATTTTTATGAATGAATGTAGCGCATATTATTCTGGCCAATCAGATTCATTGTATCTTCTTCTGATAAATTGATCGCTCGTTGTATCATTATCCTGATAAATATCCGTCTTTCAGATGCACTGAAGTCATTGAATTGGTGTGCCATGCCTAGTCCAAGTGTGGACTACCACTATAAGGAATGCTGTGAGCCAACCGCTGTCCGGTGTAACTTGACCAAACCGTAAGTTTACAACACTCTTAATCAACCCCAAAGGTTGGGGCTTAAACTGCACACTACGATGGGTGGACTAGCTCACGGCCGATCCTCCAGCACCTGTCTGCGCAGCAAACGACCCACCTTTGCAAGCTTGACACCTGGTGCGCCATGAATTCCAGCAACATTCAGCGAATGGTTTGAGATTGGCTCCAATATCTGCTTGGTCTATCGTGCCGCCTTGAGCTAAATACAGGATGGTAAGCGCAACCCGCTTAATGTATGGATGCTTGTTGTTTGGAGCTGGTAGACAGGGAGTCGTGGCGCACAGCGCTGTAGATGGATAGCAGCGACGCATTATCGCACCGAAGCTTCTTTTTGAACCACCCTGTTTCCTTTGCTGTCATGGCTTCCTCAAATGTAGGTGTAGGAAACGTCGACTTTCAAGAAGTCGATACGCGGAGGCTTGCAGGTCCGATGTACTCATCAAGGCGGCCACACGCGCTAAATACTACAGCGCAGGTTGCCAGAGTTTCTTGCTCACCCAACGTTTTGTAGCACACGTGTGCTGGGCTCAGAACACCAAATTCTGGTGATCTGAGAAACACGTTCTGGACTAGCAAACATTCATTTTTGGACCAGGCCCTTAATCTTGCACGTTGTTGAGCTGTCGTTACCGCGTTGCGATGGACTTGCCGCCTCGTTTTTGGGTTTTCTATTGCGATGGAGTGCTACGGGGTCTTGAATTTGTGCATCATGTTTGGCTCTCATAGTCTATGACTTGCTAAACATGTATTTGACGTGATGGTGGTCGAAGTTATACCGTGTATGTACCTATAACGCCTTGGAAACCTTTTCTAAGGAACCAATGTTATAGCTATAAAAACAATGCGGAGAGAATACGTCGAAATAAGTGTAAAAGTTGCTTCATTCCGATCCTGTTGTTAGAGTTCCCACTTAGAGTTTCGACAACCGGGTTGCTTGGAAGCGCATGGCAGTCGAGAGCGGTACCCATAACGCTAGGTTGGGACTCGAACGGGTAATCTCGGTGTTGTCCCGTGTGGTGGCATTTCGGTGGATGTGCTCGGGGTGAATAGTTCGGGTGGTGGAATTGCCTTTATTACGCTGTGTAGATATACCACCCCTTGGGCGATTGGCGGGCGGTTTGGCCTGGATGAATTGGCCATGGAAATCTAGAATAGATCCCACAATACTGACGAGACAGATCTATACTGAAGCTACAGTAGTATCGAAAATTAGGTATTTTAAATAGTACCCTAAAATAATTATAGTACCACGCTGAAGACTATTACTCCTTATAATATTGAACACAGTACTACATGGTAGTATTATCCCGGCCACCAAACCTTGGACAAACTTTGGTCCAAAAAAGGTAACCCTTCCCTTCACAAAACCCATAACGATAGTTAGATATAAGGGGTAAAATCGGGCGTAGATTCCGATTTTGAGGTCTATTTTTGCGTATCTGCAACCATTGATCTCCCAATCGGCCGTTTAAAAAAGGCTCTATATCTTGCAGAATTGTTTGCAATTGTGGGCTTGGCACGTACTAACATGCATGCATATTCATTGGCAGAGCCGGGATAACAGGTGGGGATTTTCAGAACCGGATGGATAAATTCCAAATATTACCGCAATTTGACGATTGTTAGAAAATTATAAACTTGTTAAAAAGAACCCGTCAAAAGAATATCTAGAGTGTAAAGAACATACAACGGGTCACCCGTTCATATTCCTAATCGGCTACAGCTTCATTGTCATCGACGGCGTCATCCTCTTCCGTGTCCTCGTTGCTGCCCTCTGGTTCCGATGCAATTTCGCATTCATCACCTTGCTGCAGATATTTTGTCTCGTATTTCTGGAGGCCTCCCAGATGGTTTTGGACCTTCCATCTGTCATAATTAATTTGTCGACCACTGAAATGATAAATATCAATAATAACTGAAATGATATGAAGTACAGCCTACCGAGGTGAAATTCTTGTCGTGGTGCTGCTCCCAGTGCGCCCATATAGCTGAAATGGTGCCCGTAGCAAAGCCTAAACACTCTTTGACATGATAACGAACTCCTCCTTTCCATAGATGCGGTGCAGAGGCCTTCTTTTGGCGGAGGAACTCGTAGGTCTTCACAACCAAGTACTTCTCAGCAGCAGTCAATTTCTTACCGGCGACCATTTGAAAAGTAGTGAACATTATTAGATGCTGTGAAGTTCTTACGAGAATAAATAGACACCAAGCTGTCTATTAAGGGGACACACAACGAAATCGGCTCTACGGTTGCGGAGTTACATTCCTCTAATTTAAGATAAAATATATTACCATTTTTGTCCAAGCCTTTTTGGCCGGGATAATAGTATTTCTGCTATCGGTATTGTACACACCTTCAGTTTTGTAGCATCCTGCAACAATATTCCTCCCATCCTATATTTTGGTAATATAGATACCACTCCCACTCCTGCTATCCAAATTAAAAGCATGTTTCATAGGGTATTATATTTAATAGGGATGAGTGTATTGTCTAATGTCGGCGCAAGATCAATTTTTGGACCTAAAATATACTTCGATGTAGAATAAAACGTATAGATGTAGCGAATCGATGTTAACAGGGCATTAGATGGTGATAATATCAGAAGTGAAAGCGGTATTTATTATTCTCCGTTTTCCTCCATCATACCGGTACTTTATAGCCGCGTTACCAGCCCCATCCTCTAGATAATAGGCGATCGGTGTCAAGATTGTTTTACGAAACAAGCTTCATATTTTTTACAAATTCAATTAATAGGCGATCCACTGTTTTATTTAAGGAATATCTAACGGGTTCTACCAAATACCAGTTGTAATATACTCGCTCCGAGTAAACTACCCCTGCTCGTTTTCGAGGTACAATACTGTACACGTATTATTTACAATTTCGTAAATACCATTCCAAATATTATACCCACTCTATCGATTTATGTGCATGTAGAATACCTTAATCAAAACATTGCTACGCTTATTTCCACGCCTTGCGAACACTGGGTGCTTCCTGAAAGCACACTCTTATTCTAATACGCGTATTCGTCGATATTATGTTGCATTAACGCGGCAATTTTCCTCGACGTTATTGCCCCTCCAGAGAAAAAATGGGCGAAAATGACTCGATCGGTGTATTCTAACATTTTCAATGCTGAATAGGTAGGTGGCCACAATCGCTGCGCCATGCTAATCAACTGTGTTTCTAAAACATAGTGCCAGTCACGTTGTAATGTGTATTAGAAGTGCCTATGTAGGTGCATTTAATACAATAAAGAGCCAATTCTGCGGCCTGTGCACGTGCGTCGATTGTGTCCGACCTGCCGGTAGTACAGTGTACGTCACGTACCGTACGTAGGTCCAGTGAACGCCTGCCAAATATCGATTAAACGGGTGACTTATCTGCAGCAGATATGTCGGGACTTAAGCGCGCATAAATCCGAATTTCGTCTCGATCGATAGCCCTACCCCTAGAAGTAAGCCGTGTAGCCATCCTTAGTGTTTGTCTTGGTTTTTGTAATTAATATGCTGACCATCACTCTTTGGGTACTTAGCCGACTTAGCTTCCATGCATAGATCTTCTGCGAAACTGGAAGGCCGTTCACTTTCAAATTTGCGCTCGGAGGTGCGAAGACGACCCCGACTTCCATATCACGAGGTTCGTTTACAAATGAAGAGTTTATACAAACTTGTAATTCCGAAGTACTAACATCTCTTACTGCCAGGAATGATGGTGCATCTGACCCACTCCTCGCTTCATTGGAGGCTACGGTACATCAACGACACCTCCAGCGAAAACGAGAACACGCCACCAAACATCCAGTCCAGCAAAGAGCTGGACAAGGGTGCGGAGATGAGCAACACCAGTACTGCGTCGCATCCGTGGTTGACGCCACCACGTTAGAGATTCCGTCCCAAGACGGTGGCGAGTCCACCACCAAGCCGTGAAACACCACCTGCGCACCCTTCACCACCGCCTACCACTCTTAGGTGCCTGAGTCCAACTACATCGTCTCCAGTGCTCTTGGAGACCCCACCACGTCCAAGACAGCGCAAAGCACCTCGACCACGTCGAGACAAGCGTCGTACCCGCCGTGAAGTAGCTGCGCCACACTCCCGTCCACAGACGCAGCGTCGCTCGCACTCTCGCCATCACTTACATGCTCACTGTGCGGATAGACGCGCCGGGTCCCTTGACTCGTTGCGTTCGGTCTCTGCTTCGCTGCCGGACGACGCATTCGTGCCCGCACGGTGGCCGTGCCGCATTGCTCACTTGCGCGAGCTGTATAAGTTATAGGGTTTAGGGATGCCGAAAAATAAATTGGTGCTGCAATTATTGCAATAAGAAAGCACCAATTATCTATTGGAGACTTTCTGGAGAGAAAGATCAATTATTTATTTTCGCTCCCGTTGTAGCACCAATAATCTATTGGGCGGTGTTTAATTGGCCATACATTCTTTGATACTGGTGCCCTCGCTGTGTACCAATTTTGCTGCACCAATAATCTATTTTTTGAGCTGAGGAAGTTCAATAATCTATTTTGGTCTAGTCGGCTCTCTAACCCAATTATTTATTTTCTGCTTTGATTAGCAATAGATAAAAATGCAATATTCGGCATAGCTGGCGACCCTCTTCCCAGCAGTTCAGCACTTCGGGTGGTGTACGTGCTCCGACCCGTGTCGAGTAGACTCGTGTCGGAACTCGCTAATGCATGTGTTCTGCAACGTGAGCTCCTGCCCTTATGGTGGCACATGCGGCAACGGGCTGGCGGAGTCCAATAAGGTGCTTCGGGCGCGAACCCTGCGCACGAACACCTTGTCGGTCATTGCCGCTGACGACATTGATGCCGGCGAGGTGCTGGGTCAGTATCTCGGCGAGATCGATCATGTCAGTCCTGTACGCTCCGAACGACCGCGCCACACTGGGTACTGAACCAGCGACCTAAACGCCCAAGTTGGCCGGTCCGTGCTGCGATTAATGCGGAGAAGATGGGTGCGTTAATGAGATTCGTTAACCACTCATGCGAGCCGGTGGCCAAGTTCGTCGAGGTCGGCAACGGTCGTCGCGTAACTGTTGTCGTCGTGAGCACCAAGTACATCCGCCGCAGCCAAGAGGTTACGGTCGACTATGGCGATGAGCTGTGGTTCATCTGCAGATGCCAGTCGGCTAGGTGTCGCCATCGCGAAATTCAAGACGAGGAGGACCCTTGAGCAGAACGGCGAGAGGGATGGAAAGGTAGTGGTTTGTATAGGTGCATGCGTGAGGTAAATCGCACTCAAAGACATTGAAGTTCCCTATTCATCAATTGTAACTGATGTACCGTATTGAAATTTATCGAATAAGGCACATGCCGCAATCTTGACGTGGATGCTGGCGTGCGGCTCCTCCTCAAGTAGATTCGAAGTGTTGGCACGAAGGTTTACCGCCAAACATCTTTCTTTACGTAGGTGTGCCGCTCTGCGTTTTGCTCGCGCGCAGATTTCGCGCGCAACACGTTAAAGCTTCAGTTATATATCGGAGATGTGCATGGCTCTCTATCCGTGTCTTTGGTGCGCTGGCGCCGAAGTGAGAACGACTGCGACGATCAATTTTCCTTTCGCCACGCGGCAAGCACTCCACTACCCCGACCTACAAGCGGTACGGATTCACCACGCTCGAACCTGCACCGGACACGCTAACTTACCTTTCGTTTTTCGTTGATGTCGATACTATAGATGGTTAGGAACTCGGGTACCAGCAACTACTCCATGGGCGACATCGAACGGCTGTTGCTGCTCGTTGAGAAGACTCTCCCGGAGCGTCTCACGTTATCCTACAACGCGAACCGGCCCCGTGGTGCACCCGAGCGAGACTTTGAGAGCTTGAGGCGCAAGCTCAAAGTCTTGTACGGTACTAGGAAGCCCACTGGTGTGCCGGACATGCCGCTACACATCAAGAAGGCGAAAGAGGTCAGGTAAGCCATCGACGAGAAGGCGAGCGTGGTCGAGCTGGACGACGGCGTGGACGACGACCAGCGCAGCATCGAACCCGACTTCTGGTTCGAGGTGGATCCCGACGACACATTCTATGAAGACGACGAGGGGGAGGACTTGCCTGCACCTGCTGATCCTGGTGCTGCTGGCCCCGAGCATCGTCGAGAATCTTCCGTAACCTATGGCTCTGGTGACACGGAGTTAGCGATTTCCGGTCGCTCGCCCAGCCGAGGGGGGTTCCAGGAGCTTCTCGAAGCTCCGCTGAGCTCCAATGAGCTGGGCGATATTACACCAAGCTCATCGCGAGCCACAACACCGCGTCCAGTGCCACTTCGATCGTCTTCGAACCGTCGTCGCACAGGTTCGGGAGGTCTCCCGCAACCACGCAAGACCGCTGTCAACTACACTGGCAGTGACGCAGCAGCACTGACGCACCAACCCTCGGCTCAGGGGCGCACCGGTGCGAATCGAGACGAGCGCGAAGCGGCTTAGTATCCAAAACTGCTGAACTATTCAAACCGCCTTGTTGGATCAGATTTGACAGTTTTTCGTGATACGGTGGGGGTCAAGCGATCGAGTGAAGATGACAAAGAGATACTCGAGGCTAGCTATGCAAAGGCCAAGAGGATCCGCGCCATGAAAACCACCGCCGCACTCAAGACGAAGCTCAACGGGATTGAGAAAGCTTCCAACTCAGCGAGTAGCAGTATTCTTGAAACCCTTTTATTTTCTACGCGAAGAAAACGAGCGCAAAGCGGAGATCCGTCGTGTGGGGGATGAACAGCACCGCCGAGACGAGCTGGCAGCCCAAGAAGCACGCCGTCTTGCAGTGAAGGCCGATTTCGACGAGCGCCGCCGCGCTGAAAGACTCGAAATGAAGGAACGGGTCCGCCGTGACCGCGAAGATGCCCGATCCCGCACCCAGGGGCTTGTCGTGTTAATTGGTGCGCTCATAAAGAAGACTTAAAGCTGAGCGAGCTGAGCAACAAGCCCAGGGTTAATTACGAAGAGTTGAGGATCACTTTCTTTTAGTAGAGTTGCAATCACCATTATGAATTAATGATGCACAACCAGTCATTGTCAACTCGGTGTATTTTATCTTCTCGTTCAGATCATGGCTCAGGGTGTATTTATCAATTTGTTATCAGCTCGCGCATTCACACAAGTTATACTACAATCGATTCTTTCTCAATACTTGCTCAAGTATCAGTATCCGTGCAGATCGCAAAGTTCATGTTCATTCACTAAGACCTCAGGCTCCTACGTCATCTCAATAGGCACTTCCATGTCTCCCTTAAATGTCGTCCGGATCTGCGAGATGCCGACCGTGCGAACGCGGTAGTTGGCCATCCGAAATAGATTGTAAAGTCTGAGCCCTCGGAACTCTGGATCGTAGGGTAAAGGGAGGTTGAAACAGCAGTCTCAACCTCCCTTTTCAGTACTTCCCATTCCCCACTCAGCTGCCTGCCGCGCAGACGTTATGGTGTTGTGTATCGTCCGTGCCGCGCTCCTGAGGGACGGTAAGATGCGCTCGAGATCACCGTCTTTCAAGGGCGTCAGAATGCGGCCAGCCATCGTAGTAGAGAACGGGAAGGCCGGGTCCGATACGACGTTCATTCTCGTATTTGGACAGACCATGGGACCTAATAACTTGGTGCGGAACCCGAGTGATTTGGATATTCTGTCCAAAACGAGTCCAACTTTGTCCAAATTATCCCAAAAAAAATGCTGTTTTGGTGATAAATTACCATATTTATCCAAAATCTGTCCAAAACAGATGCGTTATTTTATTAATTACGGATCTAAATATTACATTTTTGCTAGTAAAAGTAAGGCTGTAACGGTTGGCGTGTAGTGCGTTCTCGAGCTACGGCATTACTTCATTCAGGCATTTCCCAAATGCTTCACGAAGGGAAGGAGTACGTGATTAGGACAACGAACAAAGTCACTGGCACCATCTACTACAACTGCCGTCATTTCCGACAAGGCTGCCTTGCAAAGCTGATATCAAAAAGAGAACACGTAGGCGCTCGCGGTGACCACAACTGCGAGAATTTACTGCCGAAACAAGTCGTGGATGTGCGGTGTGAAATGCGTCAGCAGCTCCAGCGAGCGGCCCTAGAATCAGCGTCTGAAGCTCCATCAATGGTGTGGGAGCGTGTCCGCTCAGCATTGACCAACTTACACAAAGGAAGCACGCTGAACGCCATCCCAAAGCTGCAAGGTGTCAACATTGTCAAAAATACCCGCAAGGGTATGGGTTGCGATATGCTACACTCGCTCGACAAGACCGAGGCGCGCTGGCTCAGCGACTCGGACAAACGCTCCTTTGTGAGGTTTAACACTGGGTTCTCTGTCAAGAATAAGGAGCGCCGTATCGTAGGATTTGGGCACCCAGATCTAGTCCTCAATAACCCGCTCGAAAAGTACAACCGCGACTTCGGCGAGAAATTTGGGCGTGGAGCTCATCCAAGCTTACTGGCGTTCATGGAGACAGCTAAAGCCGAGGCACTAGGTTACGTGAGCCGCATCCATGACATCAAGCTGGGAATTCAAACAGCGCCTCGCCACGCTGAAGCTGTCGTCACTCAAGTCCCAGACGACTACATGAACTTCATGTAAACAGTTTGAACAGCTTTTGGACAGTTTGGATAGCTTTTGGACAGTTTGGATAGGTTTTGGACAGTTTGGACAGTCCTGGAAAAATATACAAAACAATCTTTTAGATTATTAAATCCGTCATTTATCAATTGGACAATTTGGACATTGTTGGACTCGTTTTGGACAGAATATCTCCTTCCATGTGTCCGAGTCGTTCCACGACCCGGGACAGTTGTGCTTACATTAAATAATGCGGCCGTCCGCTGCAAAGCAGGCGTCCCCGTGACGAAGACGGTATGCAACCAACCGTTGTATATTGCATTTTGCAGGTCGGCGTTCGATGGCTGTTGGACCTGGAGTTTATTAGATATCAGTAACCTTGAATCCTTCTCGCAAAAATATAACTCATATAGAAATATGGTTTCTCCTTACCCTCAGATTCTTACCATTTATAAAGCTAAATGTATGCTTTAGAAGGGGCTCTCGAGCTTCAACGAGTTTTGTGAGCTCAACCTGACGAGGAGGAGATGGCCACGCGAACCTTGCCGGAGAGTATCCCGTCAGGGCCCTGTACAGCGCGTCCTCTGCACGCCGTAGGATTCTCGACAGTGTGCTTGGTGGTACCCCGAACACCAAGCAAAGGGTGCTCTGCTCCTGGAGCCTACGTAAAAGGACAACACGAGACCCAGAATCGGGTGGAGGTATCTTAGCTTAGGCGGTTGACCGCGAGTCGTGTGATGAGGGATGTAGTAGTAGGGACTGAATCGTCGAAGGAGCTGGTGGAACGCCGATCTGATGTTGTTCGAGTTAGACAAATGCGAAGGATTTTAGCTGTAAAATCGACTTACCTGTTCAAGCTTGTAGCATTTACGAAGTTGACGTAATTGCCATGCTTGTACAGCACCATCCACGCCGAGTGACTCGGCGTGTCAAGGCACTGCGTAGTTATGTAGTGTCTGCTCCGCATGGCGGTCTTCCATGTCTCCTCCACTAGCAGCTGGTACACCTCTCGTCGGACCTCGCTCAGTGCCTTGCCATGATTTAAGAAAGCTTCGGTCAGACGTCCGACTGGTCGTCCGCCATCACTTGAGCAAGACGCGCGCAAATTCGGAAGTGAGAAGTTCAAACGTGAGCGCGTCTGGTGATGTCCGAAAAAAGTGACGGATACATTTGCTAATACAGCAAACTATTAAAGCTACTACCGGATTCAGGGCAATAACATTCGGTCGGTATACTATTTGTGGTGGATCACTTAAGCGAAAAGTCAGCATTTATCTTCTTAAAGTCTGACATATCTGCTGCAGATAAGTCACCCGCTTAATCGATATTTGGCAGGCGTCCAGTGGAAGATGCACAGCAACACCCATGAAAGCCTTAGCAAACATTTTTACCGTGTGTGCCTCGCTGAAGTATGCAAAAACAGTTTTTAAGATCCCACAGCTTTGGAGAGCAGCGTTGAGATGCCTGCAAGGCAGTTCATATCGATCGATAAAAGCCCATGTATAGTGTTTTATACAAAGTGTGACTCGATCCCTAACTCGCATCGACAAATCTGGGCCGTCTAGAAATACGTAACCCACGTCGGGAGACGAGTGCTGTACTTTGCAGTGTCCAATTTATTTTCTTCTCCACGTCGTATAGCTCCATAATTTCCTTTTTTGCCCAGTTTACCGCGTTATTATGACGTTGGCACGCTCCGTTGAGAAGATGACTGCACATTTCATGTATAAAACGCAGAGGTGATAGCGACCTCATTCCCATTGGGAGCTGAGAGCCAAACATGCTTTCGACAAAACTTGAAGTCCTCCATTCGAAAAGGTGGTCGAACCTCGATATTATGCGCGCCCGCCATGTAATCTAAATACTCTCGTACTCTGACTCCAATGGCAAAGTTCCGATGCAGCCTAATTGACTCGTGTACGCTTCCTTCATATCTGCTGCCTGAAGGCTTCCGATCATATTGCGGTGATCTTAAGTGAAGTTCTTGAGCCGGTCGGAACCATTTCTGATTATGTAAAGTGTGCAGTAGCGAGCATGCAGCCCCATCCAGTTTGCCACATAAATAATCGCAATGCTTCTATCGCAAAAAAAGGTTTTTCCTCTGGATCACCTTCATCAAGTAGCTGGACCGATAAACGAGGTTGGTGTTGGGGGGGAAATGTTGGAGAGTTTCTTTAGAAGATGTGTCTCTCTTGGTTGCCCTGCACCGTGATGGAGCGGTGTTTGCCCTGGGTGAGGAGCGGTGGGTTTTTGCTGTTGTTTGTTGTGCTGTGCGGCAAAAAGAGGAATGAGTAAACAACGAAAGGCCTGTCCAGTAACAGTAAAGTCATACTCCCCAGGCTCTGGGATAGGAACAGCCAGCCGGGTGACGGAGCTGTCGTGATTCCTGGCTTCGGATAAGATCAGCTCGCCAGAGGACGTTGTAGCTGCACCTGTTCCAACTCGTTAAAGCTGTTTTAGGCGGGATATTGATGAATGTAGTCCATCAGAAAAATCTCTCTTCCACTTGCGCGCAAAAGCAGCCCTTTTCCTCTGGATCACCTTCATCAAGTAGCTGGACCGATAAACGAGGTTGGTGTTGGGGGGAAAATGTTGGAGAGTGTATTTAGAAGATGTGTCTCTCTTGGTTGCCCTGCACCGTGATGGAGCGGTGTTTGCCCCACAAGGGCGTTCTAGAGAGACCGTGACTTCTTCACACTTAACATTTTCGCTGACAGGGATGCCCCAATTGCTTCGGAATACCTTGTGTACCGCTGGAAAGTGTCTGATGCCCACCTTCCGTAAAGTTTGATCTTGGTTGAGTCGACTCCCGCCGCTAGTAGCGCTGTTGCGCCTCCACTGCGTAGTGAGTGGCATGAGTATCTCGACGCGTCCTCGCCCATTGCTGATGCCGCTCGTTTAATGACCATAGCCAACTCCGTTGCCTGAAGTACCTTCGTCTTGTTGAACGAGCAAATCGGGTCGGTCGATCCGAGATTACTGAATTTCGCGTGTTCAAGTAGCATAATAGATGCTCTCACCGGGCAAATCGTCGGATGTCTTGACTGTCGCAGGGTCCTAATTACACCCTGGCCTTGTTGATCCGTCTTGCTTCCTCGAAGGCGGATTTGTACGCTAACAGCGTCCGCACCTCGTTTGGTTATTGTACCGTGCTGGTCAAAGAGTTGGACGTCATCAACTCGTAGTGCGTATCAATGAACGCCTCCTCTCACAGCTACAAATGCTGCACTCCTCAGCAGAAAAAAGAAGCCCAGCACCGCAGCCCCAAAAACGAGGCGGTGCTGGGATTTGTTGAGGTTGAGTTGTTTACCGATCCACGAGAGCATAGTCGGCGTAACTGGTGCTTTTGGTCGTGATACTGGACTGAGCCGTCGCATTCCTGCGATGGCGGTCGCGTGGCCAGTCGTAAGCTGTGGAGTAAAACCGGCGAAGACAGTGTGGAACCATCGGACGTGACTGATCTTTGCTTGGATGGATCGGATGGACTTGACGTTTCCATTGCTATCGGGGCCCCATGCGGAGATCGCAAAGAGAACCAGCTGCGTAGACTGGTCATGTATTGATTTCTCTGGTAGCCAGCAGGACCGTTTGATCTGAGTACAGAATTGGCACCACTCCTTCCACGTGCCGATATACTGGCGTCTGGATGAGTCGGCAAGTGCTCGAACTTGAAGGGCGATGAGTCGCCTGTGTAGATTTTCCGAAATCGTGCTGGAATACAAACCTGCGTCCATGCAGATGTTAGAGAGCGCCATTTGATTAGCATGGATACGTTAGACCATGCCCGGGAGCCCAAGTCGGCCATGACATTCTGCGACCCCGAGATATGTTCCGCTGATAGACGGAAACTGTGGATTGTTTTTGCGACACCGATTATTCGATTGAGCTCCTGGGAAAATTCATTTTTGCTCTGTAACCGATTGGACCATGCCACTGCAGACTTGTTGTCGATCCATACACGAACATGTGTGTAGTCTGCATTTTCTCCGTTAGACCATCCTGCACCCCACATAAGCACTGCAAATGCCACACTCAGTTGCTCTCTGACATTTATGCTGAAGTTTCCTTGCCGAATCATGCCCTTTTCTTCTGCATCAAACTGAAGTCGAATGAACTCTCGACGATCTTCATAGAGAACGCACAGACCATCATTGCTTGCGTCCATATAAAGTTGAACAGTAGGTACTGGCAACACTGAGAAGAGGGTCAAGGGGACACTTCGAAGCTGACCAAGCTGTATAATGGCTTCAAACCATGCGAGATCCAGTTGAGCTCCCATTGTGAGCTTGATGAAACCAAGGCGGGGTGCATGTCTGTACAATGTCATCAGTCTCTGGAAGAACGGTTTTGCAGCGCGTACACACATAGAGACATGCCGGAGGCTGCCAAGTAGTTTTTCAAGTGCATTCCGTGTCGCCGAACCGCGTTCACGCATCGCGCGAAGTCGATCGATGGCCTTGTCAATTTTTTCTTGCGGCATCGAGACCGTCATTGCGACAGTGTCCCACTCCAGTCCTAGCGCAGTCAGATGTGTCTCCCAAGATGTAAATTTCTTTTCGTTGATTGACCGTGGCCCTAGCACAGCCATCATTGCTAGCCGTAGGGCCCATGCACACGCATCAAGGCGTCCAGGCGTGTCCGGCTCGATAAGCACGTGATCATCAACCCAAACGTAGCTGAAGAACGGTTGACGGTCTGGGTTTGTCAGGATGAGACTTGCTGGGCTTTCGCGGCGAACCAAGAAGAATATTGCGTTACCAAATACGCCATAATACGCTGGCGATCCCGTCCAGCCGAATGGTAACGCTAAATCGACAACCACCCAACAATGCTCTGGGATGATTCCTGCAAAAAGTTGGCTAGTTTGTTCATGAACTGGAACATTCCGAAATGCGGACTTGACATCTTCCTTCATCAGTCGAATCACGACGCCAGGATATTCCTGACGAAGCTCCAATATTCGGCGAGCGATAGCGTCAAAGGATTCATAGGACAACTGGGGAATATCCTCGGCTTTTGACCGATCGTTAGTGGAGCCACCTTGCGGGTATGACAGATCGTGAATAACTCGACCTTCAATTCATGGGTCAATGCCAGGTTTTGGCACGCATTTAAACGGACTGAGGTGTAAGCCAGTCCATCTTGATGCTGTTTCTGCGTTTACCACCAGGTACGTTCCATTGTCTTGGCCCTCCCGCACGCTACGTGTTAAGGCCGTCTTCAACGTCCTTGCAGATTTATGGTTCTGGTGGGTCCTCGCCGCTTTCCGCTCAATTTGCCGTTCAGCAAAGCGGTGGTACACCCCACGATCTACGATATCCAATAGTAGATCTGCCTCCTTATAGCCGTGCAATAACCACTCAAGATGAGTTTTGTCTAGTGCTTTGTTTGGTCTGGGGTCATCTGTGCTTTGTGCCCTCCACTGTCGAATCGTGGCCTCCAACGTGGTGTTCCTACCTTCGATATACCGGGACCCACCACGGACACTAGCATAATTGATATCGGAGGTGGATGGACATTGGAACGATGAACTGGCGCAACCCATTATTTTTTGCCTGGTCTTCGCAAGTCGTGATTCTTCCAGCTGGAGGCGTTGCTCCAGCGCGTCTTGGACTTGTTTTACGATTTTGCTTGTGACGCTGCCGATTGGACAGTGTTTGCTTGTACGGGGAAGGTTGCACTCAGACGAATCACTTGAGGGTCGCGGGAGTCACTTGGTCTCAGGTGGAGCACGTGATCCCCCATACCGCTCGCAGACAAACGCATGAACAGACGGTGGGAGACTCCCGACCTCAAAGTGAGCTTGATATGATCTCAAGCAGCGATCGGGAGTCGACGAAGGACAACCCTGTGTTGAAATATACCGTAGGCACAGCTGACGTCCATGCTGTCGAGGTGTCGCACTGAGGACTTCCGCCGGAACCGGCCGCCCCTTTTTTCGTTGCACACCCGCACTTTGGCTAGCCAATTTTGCTGGTGGCGACTCCCGCGCTTGTGCATACCCTTCCGACGCTTGTCGGTGGGGCATTGAGTTTCCTCGTGACAACTTGAACAGGATGCTGCTGAGCTCCGCGTCTTGAAAGTTTATCCTTAGAGCAATCTGAGCGCGCGAATTGGCCCGAAGTGAGGTCGCTTTGCACGGCTCTGCGGTATGAGCCGAATACTTTGCTGCACCAAAATGCTAATGCTTTTATCTCCATTGGTGTCCACGGGTCGTAGTCTACCAGTGATTCGGCAAATCGGTGAACGGCGTCCACTAATGATCGGGTTGTGTCTTCACAAAACTCCCCAGCATACCCGTTGAGCGTTGCGATGGCGGACACAAACTGCATGCGCGTGGGGGTCTTAGGTGTCGGAGGCAGGCTGATCTTGTCAGAAAAATTCCCGACGTTGACACCTTGCGTATTTGACAGATTGAACTGAGCGTCAAGGTCAAAGCGTACCAAGTGAAGAACTGACAATTCACCCGGTCCGAACTCGAATGAGTACAGACGGCGGAGAATTGCTGGGTGGGGCAGGAACCTTGTCGACTCGGATGTTCGGGCATGTTCTACAAATAACATGGCATCCTTACCTTTGTGCCCCACGGACGTGATGGCTTGGTGAATTGTCTGCTGAGCCGCCGTCGGTCGGAATCGAGCGCGGGAATCGGGGCTGGGGTTGACGGCGACTTGGTCCGAAATGGCCGGAAGTTGAACATGGCGTGTGTACTCGTCTAGCGAAGGTTGGTATCTAGGTGCCTACGCCTCAGTATCTACAGCAGGCGTGGGAGCCGGTTGTATCACTGGTGTCGTCAGTCGTCGGCGTTTTGATGATCGCTCAAGCTGGCTCACGTAGTCACGCAGTACTACCGGTTTATCGGCGAGCGCTCGAAGAATAGCATAGGTCGTTGGATGATCCAGTTCGTCGTCTCGATCGGCCCCAGCAGCCTCCTCGTTTCCAGGTCGATGTCGGTTTGC